CTCTGGTCCATTTCACCTCTGCTGCACCTCTGGTCCATTTCACCTCTACTGCACCTCTAATCAATTTCACCTCTGCTGCACCTCTGGTCCATTTCACCTCTGCAGTATCTCTGGTCCATTTCACCTCTGCAGCATCTCTGGCCCATTTCACCTCTGCCCCATCTCAGGTCCATTTCACCTCTGCAGCACCTCTGGTCCATTTCACCTCTGTAGCATCTCAGGTTCATTTCACCTCTGTGCTATCTCCCTAATATCCCCCTTCTGGACTCTGACACTGCCCCTACCCTAGTGCAGAACTGCATCACCTCACACCCGGACTATTGTAATAGCTGCTGGAGGGTCTGCTTGTCTCATCTCTTCCTATTCTAGTCCATCCTCCATTCAGCCATCAAAGTGATTTTCCTTAAGGGCAGGTCTGACCATGTCATTTCCCTTACCTCAATAAACTCCATTGCTTCCTTGTTGCCTCCAGGATCAAAAATTAAAATGCTCTGTTTGGCTTTTAAAGCCCTTCACAACCTGTCTAGCCTCACACGTTTCCAGTCTTCTTCCACCTCGTACTCTATGGTCTAGTGATATTGACCTCCTGGTTATGCATGGTGCAAGACCCTCCATCTCCAGACTTGGGGCATTTTCACTGACTGTCTCTATTGATGATGTCTCTTCCCAGCCTCCCAGGTTGCTGAAAGGAGGCTCACAGCCTCAGGGTCATCCTTGACTTCTCTATCACTCACCACCCTCCTTCCCCAATCCAATCAGTTGCCAGAATCTTGTCTCTATAACCTCTCCAACACCTCCTGTGTTCAAACCCACAGGCCACGATCCCAGGTCAGACTTTTGGCATGGGGCCTTCATTGGATTCCTGGCTTCCAAGCTCTCCTTTTTCCAATCAAGCCTCCCCTTAGCTGCTGAAACAACTTTCCTAGAGCACAAATCTGACCAGGTCATTCCTCTACTTAGGAGCTGTCCCTTTTGCTTCCAGGATAAAGTACCAGCTCCTCTGCTTGGCATATAAGTCTGCAAAGTCTAACTCCCACTCCCTTTAGGAGAATTATTACTCTGTTTCACTTGCTTGGTTTCCAATCAAGCTTGCTTCTCACATCACAGGTGGCATCTCTCATCTCTGAGCCTTTGAATAGGCTGTTCCCCATGCCTGGAATGCCCTCATTCCTCCCCTCTACCCCTGGGAATCCTTAGCTTCCTTCCAGACTCAGCTCGGTTGCTCCCTGCCCCAACCCACCTCTCCCCCTAAGCCTTTCCAGATCTTTCTGGATGCCCCTAAATGTCCTTGTATTTACTCTCTAAGTGATGGAAGGGCCCTGAGAGCCATTTTGTCTTTGTGCTCAGGGCATCTAGCATGCAGTAGGTGCCTAATAAATGCTTGTCAAAATGAATGGATTAGGCTGGGGCTCAGGGGAAGGCCCTGATGGCCTGGACACAGCCTCAAAAGTGGCAAAGCTGCTGAGGTTGGCCCTGTTTTCCAGGTCAGAGCTGCTGCCTCCCAGGGCACTCAGGTTTCCAACTGCAGGCAGCTTGGGGCCCAGCCTGTGGGGAGGATGTAACTTGAACTTTGGGAGTTAAGGCTGGCTAAATGCAGGCCCAGACCCAGCAGCAGCAGAAGCACAGAGAGAGGAAGGAGATCCTTTATATGAGGGACACAGGGACAATGCTCTGGCTGTCTACACAGGCCACAGTGACCAAGGAAAGCTGGTTAACTCTCTGAGATGCCAGTTCAGTGTCTACACTCATCATCTGTCACCTGGACTATTGCAGCAATCTCCTAAGTGACTTCTCCCCTCCACTCTGTACTCCATACTACTGCGTTACTGGTCTTCCTAAAGCACAGACCTGACCATGTTACTCCCCAGCTCAAGAGCTCCAGGGACTGACTCCCTATTGCCTCCAGGATCTAATATAAGCTCAGCTCGCTTCCTTCTGGGATCTCTAAGGCTGCTCTGCCTTTCCTGGAACTCACCACCTGAGCCAACAGGCCTCTGGTGCCTGTCCTGTGCCCTGAGGACGTTCCCTCCACTTCTATCAATAGAGAAGT